TCTCTTCCTCGACAATTGCCTTGAATTTTTCAGCATGCTCCGTCTTGATTCCTTGAATCAACAACTCAAGAAGGTCATCACCCTCTTGCACTCTCAAAATGTAAAGAAGGCATCTCTTGGCTTGGGCAAAAAGAATACGGCTCTTTGCATCTGCGACACTGTCTTCCTTGGTCACAGGGAGTAAACTAAGCGTAACAGATCCCAACTCGGTCAATGTCACATAGTCATCAGCAGAGTTCACAACATCGTCGAGTTCTGAAATGATTGCACAGAGCTGGTCGTCAACGCTGGGAGCCGAAAACTCAAGGTTCTTGGCCACTAGCTTCTCCATTGAGATGATGTCGCTTACCTTCATGGTCAAAGTCGGGCGATCCACGGCAACAATATCATCGTACTCGTTCATCTCGTATTCCGATTCCAAGCCCTTCACGTTAATGACTTCTCTGATGATCGCTCTAACGGTGTCGGCCTGCGACATCACGTATTCGTTCATGGGCTTCAAGAAGTTGTCACTGAAGGGTCTCATGGAGAAGGTTTGGAGAAGCACCCTACTCAAGCTCTTCAAATTGTCTGCAACCTTGGAGTTTTGCTTTGAGTATGGAAGTTTGGTGGAGTAACCATAGTTCTCGGGGAACAGGAAGATACTTGAAATGTAATGCTTCACAAGAGTAACTCCCGCAACAGCGAGATGCAGCTGATCATTTTGATCAGGGAAGTGTTCATGCGAAAGGTCATAAGCATGCTTTGCCAAAAGTCTGACGTGGAGTGGGATTTGTCTGATGGAGGTCCTGATGGTGTCAATAGTGTCCGTAGTGAATTCCCTGAGACTGAGCAAGTTGTCAACAAAGACAGATGATACCGTTTCATCACGAATAGCTGCTTGAGGCAGTATGTCCCTCTTCTTGTCACTAGAGCCATGAACTCTAATTTCTCTCTCCATTACCTGAATGTAGATTTTCGAAGGGTTCGATTCGAATGTAAGCTCATCGTCCATGATCACTTTTTGCATTATGCCACCAAACATGTGTTTCAAGTGAGATCTTTGCTGGATGCTATTGTTAAGCTCGTTAAGGTAGTCAATCCAGAAAACCATCTTGGGCTTCGTGATGTCCGCGATGTTTCCACATCTTGAGCTAAAATCATCTTGCATGAGATCGAATATGAACTTCATGAAGAAGTACTCCTCTCTAGTATGGGAGTGAGCGCCACAGTGGGCCAATGGGAATAACAGCGAGATGTGGAAGTGAAGGCTTTTCGTGAGTCTGTTTCTCTCACTAGCATCAAGCCCTTCGAAAAGTCTGGTCCAATATGCTGGTTTTGTCTGCAAAAGATAAAGCATAGACTGGTAGAGCTCAATTCTTCTCCTGGAGTTCTTTTTGAGCTTCTCCAAACACTTCATGTTGGCCACCTTCTTGGCCAGTGGCTCGAATGCTTTGTATTTGTTTCCACCTTTCATGAAGTCTTCCAAAGTAATCTTGTTCTTGTCAAGAAGACCCAATTTGATCTCAAGGTTCTCGATCTGCAGCTCCAAGTCCTCGTTCGAACGTGACTTTTCTAAAATTTGGTCTTTGAATTCCGTCAACTCCATCTCTTCCTGGAAGTCCACCTCGTTATCAGAAAGAAGATAAGCAAAGCGGCGAACAACGGAAACAGGTGGTGTCTTCAAATTGATGAGAGCCCTGTAGGCCTTCTGGGTATACTTGCTGCGCAAAATAGCCTGTGCCTTGACAACAGAGTCAGTGTTGGAAATGTAGTGCTTTCTCATGTTCTCAATCTTCTTCCGTACAACAAATCCACGACATGCTGACTGCAAGCCTAGAACGTTGTCAATGTTATCATAGACATCATCCAAGTCCAAGTCACGCTGGAACCTCAACAAAATACCTCTGAAAGCGGATTGAAGAGGAACAATTTGCGAGTCCTCGACTAAGGTGAGCACATCCTTCTTGTACTGAACCTTACGGCGAAGTGCGTTACCTCTGACCTTAGCAAACAAGGTGTTGATGTTGATGTCTTCTCCGATCAAGGTGATGAGAACATTGTTGCAAAGTCTGGTTCTCGTGATTGCACCCTTGGCAATACACTGGAGCTCTCTTATAGCACCTCTCTCCCGAGCCATTCCCCTGAGCTGATATCTGATCACATTACGAACAAGGCCTGCTCTGATCAAAGATTGCAACTCAATCAAATGATCAATGTTGAGCAGCTTGGCAATCACATCTCTGTTGTTGTTTCTGTGGTAGATCTTGGTACGAGCTGCAGATTGGAGCTCGATGATATTATCCTCCACGAGCTCTCTGTTCTCACACATTGTAGATGCACGGAAGTACACAACATTTTTTCTTGCAATGCTCTGTAGTTCTTCAATTGAAGATTCGTTCTTTGAAAGCTCGCTCCGAATGTGCTTTACTCTTTGGGATACAAGATAGCGACGGACAATGCTCTGAAGACCCTTGACCTGCAACTCCAGGTCGGAGTCGAATGTTATTCCCGATGCAGCTTTAAGAAGCTTTGTTCTCGCAGCTGCCTGAAGCTTAATGATGTCTCTCTTGTAGTACAACAACTCGTCTCTATGGCGGTGAATGGTTTTGTTTCTGGAGAGATTTCCTCTTATTATGGAATTGAAGTCGGTCAATTCGCTGTCGAAGGATTTGAGCATGATCTTGTCCACAAACATGTTGTACCTGAACAAAGCACCTTGAGAAAGCGCCTGAAGCTTGATAATGTTTTTGACGTGGTTTTCAAGTTCAGGTGTGTAGTATCTGCTAGACTTGTCAATCAACCTCGCATCAACTGGTCTTTTGGGTATACTAGGAGCCGTTTCGGTAGACTCGATCGCCTTGGAGAACTTTGAGGGCAGTGCAGGCTTGAGCTTGGGTGTCTCTCTGAATGGGTTGTCTTCTTCAGCAATCGAAGAGCGGCGTATAGGAGACTTTGAAGGCGAGTTGAAAGTCAATGTCTTGTTCATGTAGGAGCTCTTTCCTGGAGATTCTGGGTTATCAGTATCTGCTGAAGCAAAGTTGGGCAAGTTGCGACCGACAAGTGCTCTATTGGCAGTTCTGATATCGCCTTCAGGGAAGTCGAGTCGGTCCACGAGTGTTTGCATCTGAGGATACAGCAGGTCAAGGGTATTTATTTTGTAGCTCATTGCATGGAGACAGAACCAGACCTTGGGCACATCCTTGGCGTCGTAAAGGTCTGTGAGTTCGAACCGGAAGAGGTCGGGGATCTCCAAATACTCAGTAAGCTTGAAGAACCTGTTGATATTTTCAGTGTGTCTGAACTCAAGTCGGCTGTCTTTGGAGTAGACGGCTTTTTTCAGGGGAAGGAAAACGTTTGCTAGTTTGGCCAAGTGAATGCCGTTCTGGATGTATGTCATGAGATCCACTGGAGATTGGGCAATGGGCTCGTCAATGACGCATTCCAACCAATTCTTGATAGCCTGGATGCGACAAAGGTACTCATATCCCTTGGTCTTCTTCAACGAGCTTTTGGTAGGTGAGCCCTTAGGAGTTGTTCCCTCAGTCAGAGACCGAAGTGAACGTGAGTCTGAACGTGGAGTAGTATGGAACGAGGAAACCGTAGCCGATGGGGTTTCAAGTCTCGACTTCAAAATGGTAGGTTTTGGTGTGGTGTCAATGTTCATTTGACGGGCCAAGTCATCGAGGTCCGGAGAGTTGTGTTTCTTTAGCGGTGAAAGGGTATTGGCATTGTGTTTCAAAGATGGTTTGAGCGGTAGTCTCGTGGGAGTAGGGTCCTCGAGGGCATTCAAATAGCGTGCAGCTATATCCTTAACTGGCGACACCATTGAACGATGATAGTAGTAACAAAGATTGTGTTTGGAGATGATATAAGAGGGTTCGCAGTAGGTAGGCTTTCAATATCATTTCCGTTTTGGGACGCAACATAAACAAACGAAGGTTCGCAGCCATATCGAGAGTGACAGAAACAGAGCTGCGCATACATTAGAAGCGACTGTGTGTAAGGAATGTTTTGGCCTGTAAGAGGATATGTTATTTGGGTATATGGGGGGCTTGGGATGCGAGTATGGGTTATTGTAGAAGCTTCTTTTCGGTCTGCTGCTGCTGACGGCGGTCCTCAAGAAACTCAGCAGTGCTATTCCACGATTCGACCTGGGCTAGCTGTCTCGGGAGATCACTTTTTAGCGCTGAAAGACGCGATATGCTTTCTTCGTAGTCGCTTAGTAGGTCCTTCGCGCTGGGGATCGTTTCGAGAAGGTCGGGGTGTGATTCGACTTCCTGGTTGTCGTACTTTTCGTTGAGGCTCTTGATGATGGAAGTCACCTCCTCATCCGTCGTAGATATTAGCAGCTCGTACGCGTCTTTGGCTCTCTCTGGCAATTCCCGTCGGAGCCGCGTCACTTCTGTGGTTTCTTTCTCCACGTCCTGGATCACTGTGCGGAGCTTCTGGTTAAGCTGGGTATCAAATGGCATAACTTCTTCGGTGGGTCGGAGCAGCAAGAAATCCTTGATGGATACGTCATCCTCACTAAAGTCAAGACCATCTACTACAAGGGCATATTTGGCCATTTCAAAGACCTCAGCGAATGTTTCGTTCACAAGGTTCTCCACCTCAATCTGTAATGGATCATGACGGTCAGATACCGGGAGGTGTTGATCGTATTTTTTCTGTGCAGCATCCACAAATTGCTTGTATATATGCGTAAGCTCCTGTTTGGAGAGGGCTATTTTCTCGTAGTGCAGACTTGCACTCATGGTGGACTGAGACGTTTGTTGTGGTTCTCAGTAGTTGATAGTGGTGCAAAGTTGCACCCGTACACCACACCAGGTCGACCTTTCAGAAAGCATCGTCAACAGGCCAATTCCACCGCTTGTTGTCCCAAATGTCCTCTTTATTAATTGTCTCGTATCTCTTCTCTCCAATTCGACCCCCTACCGGTGGTAGGTGTAAATTCGCCACCGCACGACCCATTCTCAACACCTCACCTTGATAAAGTGACCTTTTCATCTACATCAAGTATGAGTTCCTCAGGCAGCGAGCTTGCTCCCAACTTCGCTCCTTTCTTTGGCTTTGCCGGATGTGCCGCCTCCATGATCTTCTCATGTGTGGGTGCTGCCTTCGGTTCTGCCAAGTCCGGAATCGGCATTGCTGGTATCGGTACCTTCAAGCCTGAGCTTATCATGAAATCGCTTATTCCCGTCATTCTTTCGGGTATTTTATCCGTGTACGGTCTTGTCGTGTCTGTGTTGATCGCAGGAGACTTGAACCCCCAGGACGAATACACTTTGTTCAATGGCTTCATGCACTTTGCATGTGGACTGTCCGTTGGGTTGGCATGTATGGCCCTGGGATACGCCATTGGTATAGTTGGTGATGAGGGTGTGAGGCAGCTTATGCACCAGCCTCGTTTGTTTGTGGGTATTGTGTTGATTTTGATTTTCGCTGAGGTGTTGGGATTGTACGGCTTGATCATCGCCTTGATCTTGAACACCAAGGGTAAATAAGTAGCTGCATGTATTTTTTGAAAAAACGTTTACGGATAGCAATAATTGTACATTTCGTGGTCCTCTACACCTAGTCTGTCTGCATTTTGTCGTCGTCCTTGGCATTGCCGTTTGTGCCCAAGTTCACATTGCCCTCATCGTCAATGAAAGACTTGGAGTTTTCGTTAACGAATTGCACGGAACGCTCGGAGTCCAAGAACAATGTGTAAGCTCTCTTGACGTCAGGCAAGTCAATTGTGGCGGCTCTTCTCTTCAGAGCGATCTGCTGGGCCACAGCAATCAAGTTGGCAGCATATCTCAAGCTTGTCTCCTGGCCAATCTTTGTTAAAAGGGCCAAGGCATCGGCATTCAACTCAGCCTCTTCCTCATTGGCTCTGATGGACAAAATCGTTCTGAGCTCGTCGGCGCTGTAGTTGGAAGTGTGGATAATAATAGATCTGTCCAACAAGTCCATTGGCACACCGTGTGGGGACTTGTAGTTTGTGCCTCTGGTCTGGGAAACACCACGGTTTGTGGCCATCACGACAATGGGGGCAAAGTCATCCTCTAAAGCACGGTTGATGAAGGAAAAGCTCTCAATGTCAAGCATGTGCACCTCATCGATGAACAAGACACCAGGCACAATCTCGGCCTTGCCCTCTTCCTTCCACTCGGCAACCTTGGTGTTGATCTGGTCACGGACTTCAGATCTGATTTCACCGGTGTCACCGGAAAACAAGGCCAAGAAGCCCTGCTGGCGGGAATTTATGACATCTATCTCGTGAAGCGACACAGTGTGGACAACCTCTTTTCTCTTCTGCAACTCACCTTCAGGGCACTGCACGAACTTGGTTTCTGGGCCCATGGCGTCGTAATCTCTGGCTCTGGTGAAGGACTTACCCAATTTAGTGATTTTTCCGGAAGCCTTGTCGATGGAAATCACGTCACCGGCCAAGACCTTCTCCTTAGTCAAGCCCTCGATCATTTTGTTACCCAACTCGTAAATGGTCTCCATATCCGTGGTTTTGATTGTGAGCTTACCTTGCTTGTGACCGCCAGTGATGGATCTATCAATTTGAATCTCAACAACCTCACCCTCAATAATTTCTGTCTCTTCCTTAATTTTGATACCAATCGACTTTCTGAACGCCTGGGTCAACGATTCGGTTTTGGACAAATCAAGGGAGAATATTTCGGAACCGGCAATAGCGGTGAATGGGACACCTTCGCCCAATGATTGGGACAAACCCATGGCGATGGCGGTTTTACCTGTGGATGGAGGACCGGCAATAAGAACAGCTCTGCCGGCAATCTGACCTGCCTGAACAAGCTTCAAAATAAGACCAGCAGCCCTTCTGGCTTTAACCTGGCCCACCATGCCTTGAGCAGATTCTTTAGGCTTTAAGTTGTCATCGAGCCCTAGGCCAGAGATGTGGGAGTGGGCTGCTATCAAAGAGAGCCCAGCAACGTCTTTGGCCTGTGCGGAAGACGTGGAAATGGTTGCCTGGGACATTAGTATATTTTAGTGGTGGATTATTGACTTTTTTCACGTACCATTTTAGTTGTGGTAGGTAGTTGATGGATGTTGAGATGTCGCGGAAATGTCGTCCAGCGACTCCATGGCTGCGAAAAACCTAGACAAGCGCTCTCTACAATCATTCTTTTTGACACTTTATAATAAATAGACAGTCTACTTAAATCTTGGCCTTGGCCTCGGTCAACTTGCCCTCGCTGTACATGGCGGCAATCTGGTCCTTGAAGAACTTGGCGGCAATAGGACGCTTGATCTTGATGGTAGGCGTCACAACGTCTCTTTCAAGACGCAATGGCTCGTACTCAATGTAGATGTTGTGGAGCTTCTCGAAGCCAAAGAGACCCTGAACGTTGCGGTTCAAATCTTCAAGCAAGATGATTCTGTTCTCGCGCTGGTTGATTTGCTCCAAGATGGCCTCGGGAGTCATCAAGGCAGAAGCTGGCACATTGCACTTTCTGATCAAGAAGTCCTTAGCCTTGGGCTCCTCGACACCAATGATACCAACCAAGTAGCTCTGCACGGACTCACCGTGAGCGAAAGCCTGTGTAAGGATAGAGTTGCTGGAAAGGTAGTTGTTCTCGACCTTCTCGGGCGTCACGTACTCGCCGTGAGCCAACTTGAAGAAGTTCTTGACTCTGTCCACAATGTAGTAACGACCAGTCTTTCCGTCGATTCTGGCCACGTCACCAGTGTAGAACCAGCCATCCTTCAAAGCCTTGCTGGTCTCCTCTGGGTTCTTGTAGTAGTGGGAGAAGACCTGAGGGCCACGAATAAGCAATTCACCAGCAGGGTCCTCACTGTCAACAGAGTAGCCCAAAGAAGGCAAATCACGCAAACTGATCTCACTGGCCACACCAATGGCACCACAAGAACCAGGCTCCTTCTCATATGGAACACTGAAGGAGATACCAGCGAAGGTCTCGGTCAAACCGTAGCCCTGGGAGAAACCAATGTTCAAAGCGGCCTTCAAAAACTTCACGGTCAGCGGAGAAATTGGGGCCAGCCCAGTGACGGTCCATTCCATCTCGTCAAAGCCCAATGCCTTTCTAAGCTTTGGCGCAAGAATACGGTCGTAGAGCCAGTGAGAGCCCTTCTCGTTCTCGGCGGAAGCCTGCTTCTCCATCTTGTTGTTGATGAGACGGGTAAAGATGCTCTTGGCGAGGGCCTTGTCGGAGTGGATTGTGGCGCTCTTGATGGCAGACTCGAACTTGGTGAACACACGGGGCACGTTGGCCATGTATGTGGGCTTGAAGAGCTTCAAGTCCTCCAAGAGAGTCAAGGGCGTACCGCCAAGTTGTGGGAACCCGACGGTGGCACCGATCATAAGAGAACTAGCAGTGCAATGACGCTGGAAAATGTGAGCCAACGGCAAAAAGCAAAAGTCCTTGTAGTTCTGAATGGAAGGCACCTGGCAAACAAGGAAAGCCACAGCACCGGCGAGGTTGGAGTGGGTCAACACGACACCCTTGGGCTTGGAGCCGGTAGTACCCGAAGTGAAGGAAATGGTGTACTGGGTGGTGCTCTTTGGGGGCAAGTCGGCGTGGGGGAAAATACGACCCACCTCCAACACCTGCTCAAAGTCGTAGAGCATGATGTTCAAGGCCTTGGCCTCGTCAATGAGCTGCTGCTTGCCCTGGTCGCCAAAGACCTCGCTCAATGGGTCCATGGAGACCACGGAGATGAGCGACTCAAGCTCCTTGGGCGAGTTCTTCTTCAAATCAAGCAACGTTCTAATGTGGATGCCCAGGGCAATCACCACAGGGGAAGAGGTGAGCTCCAAGATGTACTTGGAGGTGCCGGGGCCCAAGGTGTCGTACAAGGCGGTGCTTGTGATGGAGAAGGAGGCACACGTAATGTCCGACAAAATCCACTCAGCTCTGTTCTGAGCGAAAAGAGTCACGATGAAACTGTGGTTGTTTGCGTCATAGGACTGGTAGTTGGCAGCGTGGGTGGCGATCTTCTCGTGGGACTCCAAGCCAGGCACCTTGTAAGGGTTGTTCTGCAAAAGAAACAACAAACCGGAACCCAAGGCCTTTCTCTTCTCGTCCAACTGGTTGTAGGTGATGGTCTCGTAGGCGCCAGACTTGTTGGTTCTGTAGTCGTAACTTCTCAGAGACAAGGCAGGCAAGTCACCGTGGTTTCTCACGGAGTGCTGGATCATGCCATGGTAGGTCTCGAAGCCAGGAGCAAAGAACTTTTTCACCGTGGAAACCGAGTTGTTACGGTAAACCGCCAGGAAGCCGCTCTGTTGCAGCCCAGAAACCGGGGATGCGTAGCCCACCTCGTTGGGGTCAAAGGGCACGACGCCGTTGTCTCGGAGCTGGCGAATGGTGATGCCTTGGGCATCGAAATCCTCAAGAACGTATTCGGAGTTTGCTGGGGCAAGAAGTGACATGGTGAAGGAAAAACAGCGACAGAGGCCGGTTTAAAACGTTCGCGGTCCTCGGGATCTCGGGTGTTTCTGTGGGGAACCCCGCGGGAAAATGGCGGACTCTTGGAAGACAAGGACGACAAGAGGCTGGGCTTTTTTTCGGATGAGAGGTTGGCGGTAGTTTACGCAGAGAAGAGTTTAGGCTTTGAATTTTTTTTCGATATCCAGATCCTTTCGGAGTATCCGCTTTGTGTGTTTTGTACTCCGGGGTGGCTGCGAAAAGTATCTGCCGCAACGGTGGAAGGGAAGTAGCCGAGGTGACGTACTGTTCGACCAATAGAAACGGTTTTTTAGCGGTACGAAAAGGAGGATTTTTGGTTCCGGCTGTGTAGGAGAGCTTCTTCAAGGCTAATCCATCAACTAAGACCTCCTATCGCAAAGTGTGGCTCGAATCCACCCCCTCGCTGTAATTCCACACTGTGCATAGATGAGTCCGAAACAGGTGGAGTTACGATGAGTGAAAAATTTGAAAAATTTTCAAATCTGATCTACGATGGCCCGTTTACCTAGCAGGACAAAGCGATAAGCAGTGCTTCTGTTACCAATTACATTTTTTGTATTTCCGTGTTTCCTGTGGCGCCCCGGACAATGGGCCCCCCCTAGATCTCACTGGCGCTTGCGAACAATCAACCATCTTCGCTAGCGCCTTGTCTATGTAGATCGATCCTAGGTGACACTTGCCAACCCCACTTAGCAAAAACTGATACCCCAGGCTGTTTCGGACGGCCGGGCCCCTCCCGGAGATACTGTATCTCCGCTCACTCTATCTACTTGAACATCAGCGTGAAGCGGTCCGGCACATCCAACTTGGCCAAGTGGAGCTCGTAGAACTCAACCTTGTCCAGAGGCGCCTGACTCAAGACTTTGGTCAATTGTTCTGCGCTTCTCAAGTCAGCAGAGACGTGCTTCTTCTCCTCAGGATCGCCAAGAACCTTCAACAACTGCGTCCATTGCCAGTTCAGCTGGATGTCGTTGTACAGCCTCGTGGGGCCCTTGATGATTCTCTCCACAGTGTAGCCCTCGTTGTTCAACAAGAACACCTTTGGAGGTTCGATGTCGTGTCTGATGTACGATGTCAATTCTTGAATCGTCATTTGCGCAGAACCGTCGCCTTGCACCAAAACCACACGGCGCTTGGTGCCTAAATCGCGCTCAGCACGGGCACCACCCAAAGTTCCGGGCAATGCGTAACCAATGGATCCGTAGAATGACTGGGAATAGAAGCTGGCACCTTTGGGGAGTGTCAAGTCTGCGACGCCAAATAAGAAGCTGCACGTTTCCACGAAAAAGATGTCATTAGGCTGCAAGTACTCCTTCATGAAGTCGAGCAATTTGTTCTGAGTGATAACCTCCTTGTTGCTGTCGTTGGCAGTGAAAGAAGGCATCTTGTACTTGTAGTCGATGTTGTTCTGGCCATCGTTGTGGACGAATTTGCTCACGTCAAGCTTCTCAGCGAGCTTGGTCATCAAGTCGTTGATCGAGAACACACGCTGGTCCCTGTCCTCGCTCTTGACAACAATGTACTCGTCGTCAATCAAAATGTAGTCTGGGTGGATCTCCACGTAGTCCTTGACGTTGTCAAAGTTGAATGAGTTGAAGCCGTTGTTGGTTTCGTTGTTGAAGTACCCGACATTCAACAACACATCTGTCTTTTGCTCAATGCTCTCGGTGATTTTCTTGTCCTGGGTCAACTTACCGTAGTAGCAGCCGACAAAGTTGGGCAAGGTCTCATCGATGTTTCTGGCAATATTAGAGGAGAAAAGCTTAACAAAGTTTGCGGGCATGGCCTCCACAAACTTGGTGAACTGCTCCTGAGCACGGAAACGAGGCACCAAAGCGTCTCCAAAGATAGCCGGCTGCTTGGCGTTGTAAAGCTTGTTCAAGATCTTGTCAGAGACGTCCTCAAGCAAAGAGGCATCCTTGAGCTCGTTGAAGTTCAATGGCTGCAACAATCTTGACTTTGGCACCTTCACATCTGGAATATCGCTAGGAATGAACAAGTAGCCCGGTCTGTTTTCTTGCAAAATCTTGGTGATAACCTTGTCAATTTTGTCCAAGTTGTCGCCCTGGTCCTCCTTTGTGAGAGACTCTTGAATGCAAGAAACGCCCTGAACAGCGTATTTGTAGACGTCATGGTCTGGAGGCGTCAATGCGTGTCTGCTTGGGACCAAGTGGTGGATGTTGCGGACAGTTCTGCGAGAAGCGGTCTTTGCCTGGTCTTGTTGAGCCGTCGAAGTAGTGCCCACAATGTGCAACACGGGCATGTACTCTGCAAAAGCGCCGGCGACACCGTTGATTGCAGAAAGCTCGCCGACACCATAGGTTGTGATCAAGACACTCAAGCCTTGGATGACCTTGGCGTAACCGTCGGCAGCGTAAGCAGCATTGAGTTCATTGCAGATACCTACAAAGTCAATGCCCTTCTCTTTGGCGATAGAGTCAGAGTACAAGTGCTCCAAGAGGGCCAAGTTGAAGTCGCCGGGGATACCAAACACCGACTTGAGCTTGGGGTTGGCCTGGGCAATACGCAAGAACAAGTACTCGCCCAAAGGTAATGAGTCTGAGTAGGAGGAGGTGATGTTCTCCTCAGAGCCTGGTCTGGTGATAACTGGAGCCATGATATGAGATGCCACAAATACAAGGAGACACGGCCTTTATTTATATGGGCCAAGGCAGTTGGGTTCTCCGAGCCCCGACCAATATTACCCGAGACGATCTGCTGTTTGTGACAAGGTTACCAAACGGTGGGGGCGGGTATGGGCGGATAATCACGGCAATTGCCGGTTACTCGCGCCAGTGCCTCTTGGCGTGGCTCCAAAAAGTCCGTTCCGAGAAACCCAGATCCTCGTTTTTTAGAGCCGTGCAGCCAGGGTCCGTGCGGCAATCCTTCTTTAGCATTAGACAACGACACAAAAACCACCTCACAAAGGCCGTTGATCTTGTGGTGCCACCCAAGATTGTCGGCCAGGCTTGATCTAGATTGTCCCAATTTCTTAAAAAGCGTTCTTCAAAATCCAAATAACGCCATTTCAACCGACGTGCGGCACAATTTTTATTTTTTTGACGGATTGGCTGTTTGGCATTGTCGCTGGAGCGGCTCTCGCTTTCCAGTCTCGCGACTCATGTACATCAGCCGCTGTCTGACGAGTTGCTTGAACCACTAGTGGCTTAAGGCCCCTGATACCCCAACCTTAATGAAGAAAACACGGAGTGATTATTTAGCGTTTGTAAACATTCACATTCCTCGTTTTGTGTTTTTTTGTCTGGGTCTAGTCCATGAGGAGTATCCCCTCGAGTATTACCCGAGCTGTCGCACTTGGCACCCTGGGTATCTCGGTTAACTACCCGGGCCTCATTATAGGGGCCATAAGTGACCATTATCAGAAGTTTCATCGGACGGCTCGGCTTCGGCATTGATCAGGGGCCGTTGCAACGCGACGTGTATAACTATCAGGGAAAGTCACGACGATGGGTTTCCAGGAGAGTCTTTTTAGCTCGTGAGGTTAGACCAACACTCATGCCATGAGCTTCAACTGCAACAAAGCTTTTCGGCTGAATGATACCTATAGTAGTTGGGAACAGTCAAACACCCATCATCAACGCCTGAACCACGCCCGAGCCCCTGTTTCTCTGCAAGCTGATCATTGCTTCATACCCCACGGATGTACTCGAAGTTGGGGTTCTTTGCCCCGCCAGGCCACGAAAAGTCAAACACTTCGATCTCCTTGTCCCCACATAGCTTACCTTCCTTGAGTACCCCAATCTTTATCCCCAGACATCCTTCCATAACAACTGGCCCCTTCTCCACATAAACCTCGCAATTGGTGATATTGTGGAGCCGTAGCTGGTGACTTTTTACCTTGAGAACGCTCAGAGTCATGTCACGAGCCATAAGAGGCCCCGTAGTATTAAGGATGATCGTTGAATCTCTGACATTCTCAAGACGTACCGAGCCTGGCCAGACCTTGTCGTTGCTTATCGTAGAAGACTCTATGGTATTGATATTGGCGTGACCTGCGCCTAGAAGCTCGTCCAAGTCAAGCGTTTGATTCCTAATCTGGGAAACTTGCTTCAGCACAACATTAAGATTTGAGCTTTTCTTCACTTCCTGCTGCTTGAGAATCAGTGGCGGTTGTGGTTCTCCTTCAAATCGAAAGTAGTCCACGTTGATCCGGTTGTCTGCTGCTTCTATAGCCTTGTTTGCCTCTTGGATACTATTGTATAGCTTTTTGCGCTCAAAAGACGGTAGCTCGCCATATGTGGCTTGATTAAGAATGCTGACTTGCTTTTTCAACTCATCTAGCTCTGCATTATCTTCACAATTGTTTATCTGTTGTACTAAATCCATCAGTGTTGATGTCTCGAGTAATGCAGGACTAACGCACCTCATCAGGGTGATACCTCGAAGCCTAACGTTTTACTACATCGATTCATCATTTTTGATATAATTTACTTATTTCCTAACAAGTCTTTAAAGTCTTACTTTAATCCTTTCTATTCCAACTCGTGGCCTAAGCCTTGAGCTTTGTTCTGCCAACCAACTGGTCGCAAATCTCTCTGGTCTTGGCCCAGTGTATTCTCTTTGGCATTCTTCTCTTCACTTCCGTCTCGAAATCATACAATTGTCTGATGCCAGTAAACTGGAGGTGCAGCGAAACAATTCCCAAAACGGCTGCGGTTTCCGACAAGCTCTTGTCGTCCATAGGAATCTCAAGCTCGTCTCTGTATTTGCTGATGGCATCAGACTTGGATTCAATGAACTGCACCGCCTTGATAGCAAATCTTGTTGCTCTCGTTCTGTCCACAGGAGAGGGCAAGCCACCCTGCTGGACGTGGCCTGGCACGGCAGTCTTGGTATCAAACACACCGTCAGATTCCAGCTTCATGATCTCGGCCAAAACCTGAGTAGTCAATACCTTCGAGGCATTAGTGCTCTTCAATAATAGCTTACCAGTTCTTGCAAGTCCATTCTCTGCAGTGAAGGATTCTCTCAAGGACTTGATGTCAAGCTCCAACTGTGCTAGGTCAATACCTTCTTCGGGCACGTAAGATGCCTGAGCGCCACAAGCCAATGAAGCGAACGTGGCGATGTAGCCAGAGTTACCTCCTTGAACATCAATGACGAATGCACGATCTCTAGTGGCAGATGCAGACTGTTTGACGACGTCACAGTATTCCATCAAAGAGTTCAAACAAGTGTCCGAGCCAAGTGAGTAATCAGTACCTGGCACATTGTTCGAGATAGTAGCTGGGACGAGCACCATGGGTATACGGAATGCAGGGTACATAGCACGGGCCTTCTCCAACTGCTCCAAGGAAACGAAGGCCTCGAAGCCACCGACAAGAATCAAGCCATCGAACTTGTACTTTTCAAAGTAATATGCAATCAAACCCAAGTCTGTGCTCTCGGGCGTGTTTCTGTTGGTACCAATCTCACAACCACCCATGGACGTCCAGCCCTCGATGGACAACCAGTCTACCGAGCGGACGGACTCGTGTCTAGCCAAACCGGAGAAACCATTGTGGATGGCATAAGGCGTGTGACCTCTGGACATACAGTATGTTGCCATAGCATAAACTGCACTGTTCATACCACCAGCGGGAGCACCAACGTTGATGACGGCAATTCTCTTGCGCTTTTCCTCTGGAAGGCTGGGCTTCTCGTGGTTGGCAGAGTTGATGGCCATAAAGTTGTTCAAGTGTTCCACGAACTCAGAGTCTCTCAAGTCCATTGCCTTGGCAAAATCATGCTTTTCAATCGCTTCAGCAACAGACTTGGTGACCTTGACAGCTTCCACGAGTGACAAGCGAACAATCTTGTTCTCCTTGACACCAATCAATGGAGATGGAGTTTCTGGAGTAGATTCCAAAACGGCTTTAACAGCCTCCACACCCTGAAAAGTAGCCAAGATACGGTCGTAGGCAACGGCATTACCACCTCTTTGAACATGACCCAAAGTAGTGACTCTGGTATCCAAGCCCAATTTGTTGGCCAAGACATCCTTCACTTGGCTGGCGGTGATTGGTTCTAGGTCGCTTGTGATGGCACCTTCGGCCATGATAACAATCGTCTTTCTCTTGCCCTTGTCTCTGTGTTTAGAAACGATCTGGCACATCTGGCTTTGCCAGTCCTTGGATGAGGAGGGCTTCTCTGGAATGAAGATGTAATCAGCAGAGGTTGCAATACCAGCCATCAAGGCCAACCAGCCGCAATGACGGCCCATGACCTCAACCACAAAAGCTCTGGAGTGAGAGTTGGCGGTAGCGTCGATATAGTCGATGGCTCTGCAGATTCTGTCCAATGCAGAGTAGGCACCAATGGTGGCATCAGTAGTGGCCATATCATTGTCAATGGAACCCACGGTACCACAGATGTTCAAGTGCTTGTGTCTCTCGTACTGCTTGTCGTTGATGGAGCCATTGTCCTTCAATTCCTTGATCAAGGAAGGCCACTCAGAACGGAACAAGTCCGCACCTGTCAAAGAGCCGTCACCACCACAGACGATAAGAGCATCAATGCCTGCCTCAATCATGTTCTTACATGCCTTCAAACGGCCTGCTCTTTCCTTGAAAGCCATGCATCTAGCAGTACCGATCTTAGTACCGCCTTCGGTCAAGTAGCCTCTCACATCCTGCCATTGCATCTCCTTGATGTAGTCGGAGCCACCTCTGACCAATCCCTCGTAGCCCTCCATCACAGCGAATGGCTTACAACCTCTGAAGATTGCAGCACGAACCACTGCACGGACACAGGCATTCATACCGGGAGCGTCACCACCTGAGGTCATGACGGCAAAGTTTCTCAGGGTGGGAGCATCACTGACAATTCTCGAAACCTCCGATGCTGCTGTGCTCATGACAGTTGGCTCAAATTCTTCGATAGTTAACTTGTCCACCGGAGGTAACAAGCTCAAGGCGTTGGAAGCGCTGGTGAAGCCGACCAAGTTTCCCAAGGGGTCTGTCGTATAAACTTCGCTAGGGTACAACTCATTGGGATACAACTGGCAAGGAATGTCCAGGTTCAAAAGCGTAGACACCAAATCGTTCAACTTGGTCACGGCGAAGGTCAAGTGAGAGATCTGAGATCTCCAGTCTGCAACGCTAAACAGCTGGGTCCAATGTTCTCTCAACTCCTCAATTTCCTCTTCCGTTCTCTCGTCTGAAACTTCGATTTTCAAAGTGGTCTTCTTGTCGTCGGCAAGCAAAATGGCAGATGAAGCCTGCTCAGACTTGACCTTGAAGCCCACCACGTTGGAGTAGAAATTGATGGTTTGATTCATAGCGGGTTTTCCGGGAGCGTGAAGCACAGCGCCTGTGGCGCCGTTCACGACGGAAACTGGCATTTTCAATGAAGTTGGTTTCAACTCTTGGTTCAACGGTAGCAATGGAGTCCCAAAAGTCCGAGATATATCTGTGCGGCCGTCACCTGACCATCGGCCATCGCCAGCCCGATTCCAGCTGAAACGGGAATTGATTCGGGAAAATTTGTGCTTTTATAAAAAGTTGGTTTTTGTTGTCCATTCTGAAGATTTTAGCTTTGAAGTTTCTTGAAAGTCGGGCTCTTCGTGCTCTTGTTTCTGCTATCATTGGCTGCGAAATCAGAGATCATCACGCAACGTCACTCCAAGGAGACCAGATGAGCCATGTGACTCGGAGTCAATTGGTTAGCTGTTGGGCATAGTTTTGACGGGGTGAGATCGAATTAAATGCAATTGTTATATCGGAGGGAAAAAAATGTGAAGAATTGTCCGGACGTATAAAGGCCCCAAATGGGTCCATGTGCGCCGGTAATTTGGGGGTGGTCCACGGAAAAAATCGATAAAGTGATACTCTATTGAAAAGCTAGTCTTATAGACATCGGAGCTTAATTTAAGCCTCTAGCTTCATATCGTTACGGCCGGGCAATTCCAGAAATTCCGTTGCAATACTGACATCCATCTACTACCTTGGAATCCTTGAAGCCTACATAAGTATCCTATGCATGGTCTACCCACCAGTATCGCTTTTGCGGTAATTTGAGTTCAAACAAGACGAAATAGCTTGCACTTTTCTTTCCATTTTTTCTAGATAATGTGAAACTCTATATCAAATCCACTTGAGGCTCTCTGATTTATAAGTACTACGCCAGATCCACACAAACTTGCAAAAATTCGTGATGTTCCCAAAATTCACATAACACCCGATGAGCTTCAGAAGTGCAAAGCCGTATCACGAGGTACCAGAATTACTACGTACTTTCTTTTTGTGGACCAAAACTCAGCCATCTGGGTCTTATCATCACTACTAGCGCACCAAAGCTCAAGGTCAGAGCGACGAATACCTGAACTTATCCAACACAATTCATAAAAAGCCGCCAAAGAAGCATTCTTGTGATAGAAAACAAAGAAGAAAAGATCCCCTCCACCTAGAACCCATTGGTTATAATCTCTACCATCGTGGTAGTAAACGAGATCTGTGAGATCTCTGAGTGGCTATCCTGCTCAGCATGGCTGCGAACCCAAATTCTTCAAAACCAAGATGTCCAACACCAAACAACTTGATTCCATCAGTCATAGAGCGTCAGAATTAATATTCTCCAGAACATCTTCAGTGATGCACTCGAGCTTTTTCCTCAGCTGAAACCACAAAACGCTAAGGTTGCTACAAAACCCAACACCTACCGACTCCCCAACCACCAACCCCCAACCAATCTTCTCCATTTGGCTAGCATCTCATAAAACCAAATAGCACCATCTAACAGGTCCCCTTTGGTAGCCTCCCTACCACCTACTACATCTGTTCCACGATTTACGCCGACCCCACAGGCATAGAGGCCTCCAGCGTACACACCGTCCCGCGCTCAAATTTTTCTCGACAAGCTTACCAGATCTCCAGCAAAACCACCAACGTAATGTCGGAACAGAAGATCGCCCAGCCTTTGGCCGACATCTCCAAGATGTCCGTGCCCACGCTTCCATCGACTGCTCCTGAGTTGCCCAAGCAAAACGGCTTCTGGTCCTCCAACCCCGTCTTCTCCTACTTGAACGACGTCTACACCAACATCTCCCAGCACAGACAATCCTTGGGTTTGACCAACCCAGGTACCGTGGAGAACCTCACCAAGGAGGTCAACCGTGACGTCTTCTTGAACCAGCACTTCTTCCAGGGTTTGCGTGCCGACTTGAACAAGTCCTTCTCGTTTGACCCAGCTTTCCAGACCTCCCACGCCTTCTCCATTGGCGGCGACTTGCCCCCTTATGCATTCTCGGCTTTGTACGCCCGTGAAAACATGTTTGCCCAGGGGAACATCGACAACCAGTTCTCCGTTTCTGGTAAGGTCAACTACGGCTGGGACGAGCACAATGTCTCCAAGGTGACTTTGCAGATTGCTCACGGCCAGCCCACCATGTGCCAGTTGGAGCAGGACTACAACGCCAACGACTTCTCCATCAACTTCAAGACCTTGAACCCTCTGTACTTGTCCGGTGCTTTTACCGGTGTTGCCATTGGCTCCTTGTTGCAGTCCTTGACCAAGAAGTTTGCTGTGGGTGTCGAGGCCACCTTCTCCAGACAGAACTCCTCTCTTCCTCCAGACAGTGCTATCAGCTACTTTGCCCGTTACAACGCCGGTGACTGGATTGCTACCGCCCAGGTCCAGGGCCAGGGTGCTCTTGTCGGTACCTTCTGGAGAAAGGTTTCCGAGAACGTCCAGGCTGGTTTGGAGACTCAGATCGCCGCCGGTATGAGACCTGTCAGCACACCTTTCGGCGCTCAGCTCGAACCTGTCGTTGAGGGTATCACCACCTTGGGTGCCAAGTACGAGTACCGTACTGCCGTCTTCAGAGGCCAGGTCGACACCACCGGTAAGACCTCGGTCTTCTTGGAGAAGAAGATCATGCCTATGCTCTCTGTCATGTTTGCTGGTGAGATTGACCACTTCAAGCAGTCCTCCAAGGTGGGTGCTGGTTTGCAGGTTGAGACTGCCGGTAACGAGCAGATATTCTTGATGCAAAACGGTATGGTTGACGCTAACGGCAACCCTATCCCTGGCGCTGCCATGTAATGCATCTTGATAGACCGGCACCAGTGCTACAACCCATACTTTCATGACCTCTCATTGTATATATCGTATAATCATATATTGTACATTTCGATGCTTGGATTTTTTTTGATCTCTCACCATCCGAACAACCGTGAAATGCCCCCACGTTTGCTTGGTTCTCCAGTTTCACTACGACGGGCACTCACAAGGCGGTAGACATCAGACGAGCTAAGTGATTCGTTTCTGCTTCTACCCTGCTTTTGCTCAGTCTTTGGAGGCTTGGTCAGGGTATTCAAAGTGTTTGTTTTAGGCCTGGGCCCGTACCCACGACTGGACCCAACACTCGGACGCCTTCCATTTGGCTGCTGCAAATTGGCATGCAAGTTATTCTCAGTGATTGAGCGATAAATATCCCGAAGGGTGCTTTCCTGAGTGCGGTTGGATGCGATACTGTTCTTGGCACTGGCAAGCGAGTAGTTTGAGCGAGAGTGGGATAACTGGGGCTGACGAACATTTGGCTCCATCCAGTTGCTGACAGAATTGTAGAGCTCACTAGGAGACGACCGGCGGGACCTTTGGCTCTGGGTATTCTGTCTTGCTCTGTTGTACTGGGAGAGTGATGTCTTTGGGAAATCATCATCCTCTTCTTCGTCAGCCGCTTCATGTGTGGTGGAGCCCACATTGCTTCTTATATCAGGAACAAGTGGGATCTTTCCACGCTGATAATTGATGGCCGCTGGATACGCACTGGATGCCAAAGACATTGTCCGCGACTGTGATCTAGGAATGTTGTAATTGATGGATTTTGTGGTGGAAATGTTCTCCTCATACTCATCGAGAAGCGAGTCCATGGAAGAGGAGTCAGATTTGGCATCAGCCTTCGCTGGCCTGGAGCGGGACTGATAGGGGTTCGAGTGCTGCTTGTAGGTCAACTCTTTTGGTGTTGGTAGGTTGGCATGTGGATTTGCATGCGGGTTAGCATGTGGGTGAGGCGAACTCACTGGTTTTGGTTGGAATAATTTAGGAGCTGGTTTTTTCGTGTTTGAATTGTGCTCATTGAGATTGAAACTAGCAAGCGCCGAGGTGATCGATTGATTCGATGTTTTGCGATGCAAAGGCCATTGAGGTTCTTGAGCGGGAGGAAGTTGGAACGCTGGATCTGGATCGTAGAGCTGTTGGGGAGACACCGGTGCAGATGGCGGTGATTCCGGGATGTCGTTGAAATATGGCGTGAAGTGGCTGGATTTTGGTGTTCTTTCATGCCCAGCATGAAGATTACCGTTTCCATTCGAAGGCTTTGTCTTTTCAGGCGTATGTGGCTCCTGAAGCTCTTCCTCTATGTATGACGGAAGGGAGGGAGCTTTGGCAGCGGCAAATGAAAGGTTGGTGTACTTGACGACACCCTGTAAAATCAGCTCGAGCTCCTTTATCACGGCGACGTCCTCAGTGTCGATGTTGATTTTCCAGTACCGCTCTGGGTTTGACAAAGGCAAGATGAATTGGTTGAGACTTATGCGAAGAATTTTGAGCTTTGGAAGAAGCGGATAGACAAACGAGCGGCCACACAGCAAATAAGTCACGTCGCCGTTATGCAATTGGAAGATCTCAAGCTCCCCATGTCCCAAGAGTGTTCCAGAAGACGACTGCAGAACCGGATCCAGAATCTGCTCATGATAGACCAAGATTCGAGCAGCCAGATAGCGGAAAAGCGAGGCCTTTCCCTGCAAGTTTTGTTGGGAGAGAATTTCCAGGTACTTCTGGTCGTCGTCCACTGAGTTGACTTCACTGTTGGTTGAAGAAACAGGTTGTTTCCTATTTTTCCGGAATTCCTTGGCTTCACTGATGAAAGAAGGCTCAGCAACACGATCGCTGCTTTTCTTATGACGTAGTAACGTCTGTTTTCGAGGGCTCATAAGCTGTTCCTGATGTTTCGGCGGTTGAGTTATCGGTTCTGTTATTAGCGTGGGTAATTGACTGGTCGAGGGTTCCACAGGCGTCTTTGGCACATTGACTGTGTTTTCTTCAGATGCAGCATTGTCCACAGTAGCAGCCTTGGAAGTATCCTTCTGGGGGCTCTGACCGTCCACAGGGGTTTCCGAGGAGGGTGTTTTCTTCTTCTTTCTGCCCCGCCTTTTTCGCTTATCGTTCGGCGGCCTCCGGTTTTTCGAGTCGTCCGGCTTATCCTGACTTATCATGACGAAATTCAGAATAACAAGGCTTATGGGATGTTGATAATGGAGGACCGGTGTATGGCTATGTGAATGTTTTCTCAAAATGTAGTGGTTACTGCAGACTCTGAGGTACGGGTGGTCCGGGGTACGTCTGGGGCACACGAGGTCCCCCGACGTCAGAGAAGAAAAAAAAAAAGAAGTACAAATTGAACATGAAAGTTATCTGCTGTTTTATGAGAAAATTGATGTCGAGCAGTGTAGGGGCATTGGGCTCTAGAGCAGGTTTGGTTCGTGCGGACTTAATGACGTTGATTAGTTGATATTCAGGTGAGCATGGATAGTCTGCGAAAGTAGACTTTAGCCATTGTCAAACTCGCTATTGTGGCGCTTAGTTGCCCAACCTTCTTTCGAAACCCTCGAATGTAGCGGACTCGCCTTGCTCGATGTCGGCAGTCAACAAAGGCTTGTAGCCCACATTGCGCTCGTTGACGGCTTCCTCTTCTCTAGTCCACACAACAATGTTGTGCAAGGTACTGATGACAGGGCTGAGCTTGTGTTCTATCCACAAGATAACCTTCAGTGGGGGGAACATAAAGTTGATCTTGCCCATGGCAAGCAAGAAGCCGGCGCTGATTCCCGCCAAATGGCCAAAGAAAGACGAGTTTGGGAAAAGGAACGCAAGCAAACACAAGTAGAGGAATGGGACGTAAAGCGTTGGAATTGGGAACTCGTTGCCCTGGGTACGGAATGTGTACACCGAGGGGTGGGTGAAGTGCTCCTTGTAACAGTAGAACGACAAAAGCGAGAAGAAGATTCCCAGCAAACCAGCCACATGCTGCGTAGGGTACAAGACAAGACCCAATAAACAGTATTGCAATGCCGCCACGACTGCCAAGATGTTCATGGTGACACCGGTGTACACAGTTCCATGGCTTCTTTCATAGCGAGCCAAGAGCGGCGCCAAAGACGCGAGATTCAACAACAAGTGCAATACATTGAGATGTGGGAAGATATAAAACAGGATAGCGTTCAAGTTGAGGTTCAATGGCGCATGTGGTTCCAAGATAACAGCGTCGGAGTCGCGAGGGTAGAATCCAAAGAAGCCCACAGCGAAGATGGTGAACCCGACAGTGAAGGCAGGGAGGTTATCCAAGGTGTCTGCGTTAGGCAAGTGGGCTTGTAAAGGAGCCATGGCGTGTAGAGCTTTTTAGGGTTGTTTTGAAAGTGGAGCTCAAGAATGCCGGTGTGAGCAGACCTAAAAAACTCTCGACTGTATCAACACCTAGTGGATATTTCGCGCTCAAGACGAGAGGGATTGGCTTGCTGTGGTGGAATTCATAAGCCTTCAATTGTAGAACGATACCATTTGTGATTGGTTAATTGATTGAAGCTGGATTTTACCTTAGATCAATGCCTCCGATCGCTCGGATTTTCTGACTTAGCCGCTCAGGCCCCTGTAAATAGATCTGCAGCAAGAAGCATGTCGGAAAAATGAAACCTTCACCCAGCTGATTCGGGTAGAAAGCTATAGGATCAGACTTCAAAAAACATGGCAAAGTTATTGTGGCTGAAGGAGGAAGGAGGAAGGGTAACAATGACACAAAATGTGGGTACGATCGTAGAAAGTGGACTTAGGTTGTCCAGGCTCATGAGTTAAGGCCGCAAGGACTTGAGTTGATACTTCTATCATGTATTTCTCCACCCAAGGAGCTGAAATACCATATCTTATTGCCTCATGCCCAGGGTCTGAGAATACACCAAAGTGCAGCATACTCTTAGTATCGACTGCTTCACCATCTTCGATCTGCTCGAGGAGACAAGAAGCTATGAAAGATCACCGGGTAGAAAGGCTGTCATGTATTATCCCTTACCACGCGTCGACTGATTGAGGTTATGACATATCTAGCACTTTGCCTGGCTCTAGTAACTGCTGGCGCTAGTTAGGACTTCTAGATAGACAGAATCCAACAAGCTTGTCTTGACAATAAAAGCAATCTAAACTAGAAACCTCAACTGTCTTTTCCTATGTCCAGCTTCACTCTCTCATGGAAGGCCTGGATGAACTCTTTCTTCCTAAGGTTACTTTCCCTTATAGCGTCGATCTTCTCCAATCTGTCAGACACAGGCTCGCATATTCCATCAATTTCCAGAAGGAGTTGCCTCATTTCATTGAGTTTCATACGAATTGTGCCAGCGTGGTTGTCAAAGTCTTTTGGCTGCAATTCACCTTTTTCTAGCTGCTGAAGAAGCGTGAAAAGATTGGGTAGGAGCTCGATCACCTCGGCTTTTTCCAAAGCCAGACGTTCGGATTCTTGGGTTTCAACGTTTACGTCAACCTTGCTTTCGATATCTTTCGACTCTTCACTCATGGTTTGATGTGTCTAAATGCGGTAAGCACCTTTAAGTGTATTGTTGCACCCGTACACCAAAGTATATACCCCCATGCTTACGACGCCGGGTCTAGCTCAAATCTAAAAAAAATAGATAATAATAACGAAAATATCTCAAATAATAAGAATGCAATATTCCTGCTTTCTAAACTTGCTCCGTGACCTTATTGAATCCTTGCTTTCAGCTGGTACCTACATATAGCCTGTAGTATCAATTGTAGCTCGACTCACTATCTCCATCACACCCTCAACATGGATCTTCTATTTCTGGTTATCACCAAGTGCTTGCCTTGTTTTCCTGATCTTTCGAGCCCTTCGCTTACGGTCAATGGCACAAAGTACAAGATACTCCGGCTCCTCGGTGAAGGTGGCTTCTCTTATGTCTACCTTGTATCGCAGAAGAACAACGCTAACAACTTATACGCCATGAAGAAGATTCGGTGTCCTTACGGTGGAAATGACGCTACTTATGCCAATGCATGGCGAGAAGTACGCAGCTACCACAGATTTGCTGAAAGCAAAACCCCCTACATCATCCACACGATAGACGAAAGCGTGGTCAATGAAAGCGATGGATCAAGAACACTCTACATTCTTCTTCCATACTTTGAGAGGTCCTTACAAGATGTGATCAACTTCAATGTGCTCAATAGCGTTTCAATGGAAGAAGAGGAGGTGCTCAAGATATTCATTGGCGTGCTTCGAGGTGTACAAGCAATGCATAAGTACCAGAAAAGAGGAAGCGCCGGAGGTCCTGAAACGGATGACGACGAAAACGATTTGATGCTTCCAGATGAAGATGATGATAGTTATGGCCAGGCAACAGAGCTCCTGGAACTCTGTCCATATGCGCATAGAGATATCAAGCCGGCCAATGTCATGCTCTCTGCTGAGGGTTTACCCGTCCTTGTGGACTTGGGTCTGTGCTCCAAGGCTAGAGTTACAGTGACGTCTCGGCAACAGGCACTTACGTTGACCGAATTTGCCCAGGAACATTGTACGCTTCCGTACAGGGCACCTGAGCTTTTAGATGTTGCTAGCAACGCCGAAATCACCGAGCTGACAGATATATGGTCATTGGGGTGTCTTTTGTACAGTTGCTGCTTTGGCTTCTCGCCATTTGAAAAACTCGAAATTGAACAAGGCGCCAATTTGAATTTAGCCATCTCGCAGGGTAAATATGAGATTCCGAGCGACCTTCGAGGCTTCTCTCCCGAGCTCATTGACATTATCAAGTCGTGCCTAGTTTTGAAACCTACAGAAAGACCAACTGTTGACGAGCTTCTAGAGTCCTGCCTCACTTTGCTTCATAAAATATGATCTACACGGAAAAGGCCCCCATCTTTCCTACAGTGGACTGCAGACAGACACTCCTCCCTCCCAAACATTTCAGCCCGTGTCTGAATAATATTACCTAAGCTTAGACCTGCAATACAGACATGACGAAGTTCCAAAGAGGCGAGCTCATGGAGGGCTGGAATGACTGTCCAGACATTATGATGCAGGCAAACACTAGCAGCGGCAGTGTCGGAAGCCGCCTGAAAAGACGGACTCCTCGTGCATATGGTTCAGCCAACTCCTCCCAAAGCAGTGTAGCCACGAATAATGTGGCTCCTGCCAAAGAATACACAGAAGAAGAGCTCCGGCAAGTGAAGCTGTCGATCGAGGCATATGTGAGTGAAGGGCAGTTCAAAGAGGATGACAAGGCTTTCGTGAACGAAAGACTACTCGGATCGTTTGATTCACTTGAAGATGGACATAAACAGTTTGTTGCCAGGACTGCCGAGGCAGTGATCTCTCACCAGAAGAAACCCGGTCAGTTGAAAACCGAAGTGCTCACGTTCATGATGGCCAACTCCGGAGTGAGCACATGGGCGGTGGGGCTCAAGAAATTTGTGGAGATGCAATAAGCCCAGAACCACTCCAAAGCTTGTACAAGCTACGCATTGCTAGATTCGTTGATGATGTTTATACTATACACAACACATAGAGCTGGGTAACTAAATGCATGAAGGACATGATGGTGTCCACGTTCTTGTCCCGGCGGTATGGGTTTAAATGAAATGTTGAAGAAAAAAAACGTAGCTCTAATGCCACTACATTCTCTTTCTTCTGCCGATCTGGGCCTGGAAACCAGTCTTGATGCTCGACACGGACCTCGTGGATCCACAAGCCTTACAGCTCAAGAAATGCAATCTGTTGGCCGACTCTCTCTTCAACTCGGTGTTCATAGACTTACATGTCTTGCATGTCACGTACTCGATGATGTATCTTCTCAAGACAGACTCCATCTGCTTAGGCTGGAACTTACCCTTCAACACCAATCTCTTCTCACCGTCAATGGAACCAGAGGTACCCAATTCGGCGAACAAGAACTGGATTAGATGCTCGGGGTTTCTCTGCAAAACGGTGGCAATCTCTTGCACGTTGGCAAACAAGGTCTTCTTGGAACCTTCTCTCTGACACACTGGTGGAGGAATTCTGAACTTTGGTCCGCTTCTGTCGCCGGCCAACTCCGGGTTGTTTTGCTTCAAAATGGTGAAAAAACGGGACAAAAGGAAGTCGTATGGCAATCCCAAGGTGGTCTGAACGGATGACTCCTTCTCTTCAGCGGTGGCGGTGACATCGTCAAGA